ATGACTACCCGGGGCCGCGCTCCCCCGCCTCCACTTCCCCTCAGCGTAATGCCTGGATGCAGGCGCAGCGTTGGTTAGAGCGAATGGTCGCCTCCCGTCGGTGCCCGCGACAGACAGGGGCAGGGGTGGCGAGGAGACCTTGCCGTGTTCTGGGACAGGTGCGGGGCTTGGCGAGGAAGAACAGCCCATCCCTGCAGCATCAAGGGCACATACAGGGGTGTGGCGTGGAGACAGCGATCCATTCCTGGGACAGTTCAGGGGGTATGGAGTGGCAAGAGAGCAAAGCGTCTTGGGGCAATTGCAGGCTTGTTAAATGGGGAGTTGCCAAAATCCAAAGCCAGAGCGTCTGGGTTAGGTGCAGGGATGTCCCCCCTCGCCCCCCCACACACAATAGAGGGGAATGACCTGTCCTGGCAGCAAGCAGGGGGAAGATTTGGGAATCTAACGGGCCCGGAGGGAACTTGACTCTGTCCTTAAGTCATGCAAAACACACAGTTCTGAGCCGTGGTGTCTTGGGGTCTCTATTGCTACAGTGAAACACCATGACTAAAATGCAAGTTGCAGAGGAAAGGGTTTATTTGGCTTACACTTCCATATTATTGTTCATCGAAGGAAGTCAGGACAAGAACTCAAACAAGGCAGGAAACTGGAGGTAGGAGCTGATGTAGAGGGCATGGAAGGGGTGCTGCGTACTGGATTGCTCACCATGGTTTGGCTAGCCTGCAGGACCACCAGTCCAGGGATAGGACCACCCACAATAGGCTGGGTCCTCCCCCATCAATCACTAATTAAGAAAATGCCTTATAGCCCGCTGGTGATGGCAGATGCAGGAGGATCTCTGTGAGTCCGAGGCCAGCCTGCTCTACAGAGTGAGTTCAAGGAGAGCCAGGGCTACACAGAGAAATCCTGTTTTGAAAACAACAACAACAAAATCCCTTACAGGTCTGCCTACAGCCTGATTTTATGGAGACATTTTCTTAATTTCTTATTATTTTTTTAATTTGTTTTTTCAAGACAGGATCTATCTGTGTAGCCCTGGATGTCCTGGAACTTTCTCTGTAGACCAGGCTGGCCTCGAACCTGGAGACCCACCTGCCTCTGCCTCCCAAGTGCTGGGAGACATATTCTTAATTGAGGGTCCCTCCTCTCAGATGACGTTAGCTTGTGTCAAGTGGACATAAAACCACTCAGCACAAGTGGGAACATACTAATCCCACAAGAAACAAGTCTTAACAATTGTGCTAACTTTAGGGACACCAAAGCCCTAGGTTATCAAACATACTCTGTGGATTCATTAGCACGTTGGGGGAATTATTAGATTAGGATATCCTTCCAAACTTTGGTTATTTAATTTGGATTTCCCTCCATGTAGCCCAGGCTAGACTCTCCCTTGCTATGTAGCAAGGCTGGTCTTGAACTCCTTCCACACCCAAGTGCTGGAATTACAGGCGTGTTCCACTACACCCAGATTCAAACTTTGGTTATTGCATACTTCATTTACCTGGCCTTATGGATACGAAAACGTATCCCTCAACACAGAAGCGCTCTGGGCCAAGGGAGGATGTTCTGCGTCGTTTCTCATAAAGAGGGTGTGGATTTGGCTGTAGCATGCTCCCTTTAAACAGGAAAGGACAGATTCTGCTTATTTTGACACCCTGGCCCCATTTTGCAGGTGACGAAATTAAAACAACTGAAGCAGAAGAGCTGCAGCAGAGTCGGGTCAATCTTATGTTTGGACCCAGAGCTCCGGAGAGTACAGCGCAAGCTTGGCGATATTTGAACCTCGCGGCTTCCCGTCTGGTCCCAGCATCTTCCAGTTCCCGCGCTTTCTGACCACTCAGTGAGCTCCACGCAGGCGCACGAAGCAGCGGCCGGCCGCAACCATGGCCACAACCCGGGGCGAGGCGGCTGCACTAGGCGAGGGATCCGGTACTGAGGAGGCCTTCCGGGTCAGTGAGATGGTCCGGTGTCTTGCACATGGGAGCTGCTGACTCTCGCTCCCCTCAGCGCGGGTCCAGAGCCTGAGGAGACGCCCCCGTGGCTGTGAGGTGGCCCAGGGCGGGAGACTCGAGGCCCCGCGGAGCCTGAGCCCTCTGAAGGCCCTCGGTCAAGTTGAAAAGTGGTGGCCTAGGTCTCAGACAGTGAGGGTTTTGGGGGAACCAGAGCCGTGAGTGAGCTCAGTCATCCGGGTTCTGCCCTTGGGCCTCCTCGAGGCCTACTTCCGGTGTGACGCCATTGGTGAATGTTAGGGGTTGCCCGGAGCCCCCCACAGGGTCTCTTCCTGGAGCCCTTCAGCCTTGGGCACATTAAATTGCAGGCGTTTTCTTTGGCTTTTAGGCTCAGCTGTGCGGCTTTTATTGCCCCTTAAGTATTTACACTCCCTCTAACGCTGGCTGTGTTCCTACCGAGTCAGAGCCTTGGCACGCTGCTCACGGCTGGCTTCCAACTCCTGGGGAAAGTCATCTTTCAGCCTCAGTTTCTTGAAAAGCTAGGAATATAGGTGTGCATTACCACTGGTCTCTCTCTGTATATGTGCTCACACTCACAGACACACACACACACACCCATATACATGCAACAGAAGGTGTCAGGTACCGGGGGTAATGCAATAGGCCTATAACCCCATTACTAGGGAGGCAGGGGCAGGGGCAGACACACAGTTTAAAGTTAAGTCCAGCATAGTCTACATAGTTACAAAATAGCCTGGGCTACATAGACTCTCCCTCTCAAAAACAAAACAAAACACAACAAAAACAAAAAACCAATCCCCCCAAACCCCAAAACCCCAAAACAAAACAAAAATTGAACACACATGCATGCACTCAAAGGTACATATGAAGAAGATATGCTTGTGAGGTAATTATGAATCTAAGAGTCTTGACATAAAAGAAAGCAAGTTGATTTGGGGGTGCTAGTTTTGGCCATCTGAAGAGAAATACTGTAATGTTGAGATCCACTTGCCCTTTTAGCACATAGAATCTAAAGAAGAATTTGTTAAAGTCAGAAAGAAGGACCTGGAACGTCTGACGACTGAAGTAATGCAGTTACGGGACTTCTTACCCAGACTACTAAATGCCGACTTAATGGAAAGTTTCCAGAAATTAAAGACTGTAGAAAAAAGTGAGTCTTAACTCATGTATGTTGCTTTTATTTATTTATTTGTTTATTTATATAAGTAAGTCTCTGAGTCAGTGTCATGATTTGGGGGCCTTTTTTTTTTTTTTAGATTTATTTATTATATACAGTGTTTTACCCACAGGCCAGAAGGGGGCACCAGATCACATTATGGATGGTCAGGAGCCACCATGTGGTTGCTGGGAATTGAACTTAGGTCCTCTGGTAGAGCAGTCAGTGCTCTTAACCACTGAGCCATCTCTCCAGCCCATTGCTTGTCTTTATGTGGGCAGGGGAGTCAGTTTTAAGTGTTGAGCTGAGTCCAGGATTGCCAGGACTTATCCATTCAGATGTTAGACATTCGAACAGTATATCAGTTACTAGTCCAGGACCCTGTTAAATTTTTTGGAGGTATCTGGAAATTGAGTCAGCACTTGTCCAACTGGGACTGAATTGCAACTAAATCTGTCTTTAGGGGTTAAAGCTAATGAGTCACATCACTGCCAGCCCTCATAGTGTGGCTTCACAGTGTATACTCCAAAGGCCTGAGTAATGTTTCTAGCAGTGAGTCCAGATAGAAACTATTTTGACTCAAGAATGCAGGTTTCTGAGCCAGACATGGCAGTGCATACCTGTAATCCAGTACTTGTGTGGTGGAGGCATGAGGTTCAGGAGTTCAAAGTCATTCTCATCTACATATTGAGCTCAACCCTGTAATACATGAAACCAGCAATATGATGACTTCCTTGGAAGTGGGAGACCATCAGATTGCCTAAATTGAGGAGTAATCCAGTAGGGATCAAAATATGGGTTTCTAGTTTGTGCATATGTACCTGGCCAGGGAGCCAGCCTTATCCAGTTAGAAGGGTAAAACGGTCATGAATATGTGGTACCATGCCCTATTCTCTCAGCAGTCTTCACATCAATTAACTTTTCTGCCCTGCACTGTTTTGTGGGAGGTGGGCTCCCTGCTGACTGGAATTGGCAGGGCTGGGCAAAGAAGGCTTCTCTGAGCAAAGAGAGGGGGAGTGGATGGGAGGGAACGCTGAACTACCTGCTCTCTCTGCCTCTGCTTCTTACTCAGGTGATTGCATTCCTCCACAGCAAGTGTTCCCTCCTGGTAGCCTTCTCCACAGTCTACCTCTTAGTGGACTTCAGTAACACCATTCTCCCTCAGAGCTACAGGGCTGTTGCCTTTCCTTGGGTATGTCACCATTCTCTGTGAGGGTCTTACTCCTCCTGTCCCAGGTTATTGACTTCTTAACTGCTGCCTTCTGATCTCATGCTCAGTGGGCAAGTTTTGAGAGTAATTGGTCTTTTTTATGCATTTATTTTTAGGAAAGGAAAGTGCTGCCTGTCAGCACTGTGCGTTATCCTGTTATCCTATTGGTTGATTGTTTCTCTGTAAAGTCATGAACCAGTATTCTGCAAAATTCACTAGGGTCTCATGAAGCTGTTTTGAGGTCAGTCTCCTTCCCAAGTCAGTTTGAGGGCACATAGAATCTGTGGTATCTTGATCAAAGCCAGACTACAGGAGATGTTTGCTTACCTGACCTTCCTGGTCTGTTTGCCACGTTTCCATCTATCTCTGGTGATGTCCTCTTGGTCTCCTCTGCCCATTTACCATTCTCAGGAGTCTTTAGACAGTGCAGGCACTTGAGGCTCACCTTAGTATGCTTTCACGGAACTTCCAAGGCAGTCTCATGCTCACACATAGCTTTAGTTGCTATTGGATGCTGGTGGCTGCTGGATGCATCTGTGTCTCCAGCATCTGCCTTGCCCCTACTCTTACTTGTCCTCTTTTCCTACTCGTTCTGTTCCCATTCAGACTCTAAATGTCTGTCCTGACCTAGTCAGGAACAGATCCATATTTGACAAAGTCAGGTCTATGTCTCATGGAGATATGCATGACCATACACTAGAAGAATTGGGAGGCACCTCATCAGGCCTGGGGGGCACAGTTGGAATTTGGTGGTTTGGAAATGAAACAGTGTTTTCTGTTAGAGATGGCTTCACTACATATCCTGGGCTAACCTTTCATTCTCTGTGGAGCCCAGGGTGGCCTCAAACTGTAGATACTCTGTCTCTGACTCCTAAGTGCTCAAGCCATGTTTTGACAGCTCATGTCAAGGTGGAGCTGTGTGTAAAGAGGCAAGTAGAGTCTGAATGTGAAGCGGACCCAGGTCTTGTTTGCCTGTAAACAGTGAAGTTCAGATAAATGTAGAACCCTGTTTAGACCTTACCCACACCTGAGGCTAGTGGGGAGTCAGGCTGTTTCTCTACATCACTGTAACTCTTCAGGGCAGGTCATGTTTTTTTTTTTCTCCTTCTGAAGTGGGGGATTTTTCAACATAAATTTGATGAATAAGAAGTGAGCAGTTACTCCAAGAAAGGGGCGATGTGACACTTTACAGTTAATGGGAGACATACCGTTTTCGGTTTACTTGGCAGTTGGCTCTGTCTGTGCCCACTGTTCTAGCCTGACAAATGGCAGGGCATATTTTCACTTAGCAAGATCATTTATCCTTTCTTCTGTTTGATTTTGATTCCCTTGTGCTTTTTCTCTCTAAGCTGCCTTGGTCTCCTCAGAAAACAACCCAGATTAGACACCTTGGATTCTCCCTTTCTCCAGTGAGTTGTGTAATTCTTCCTTGGAGATGCATTGTGATGGCAGCAGCCTGTCTTCGTCTCTGCTGCTTTGGTGGAATCCTTATGCTTGCCTCCCTAGGCAGTGCCTACTATTCCCAGCCTGGGCCATTTTTGTCTGATTCTATCATCCCGCTCCTCAGGTTAAACTGTTAAAGTAACTGCTCCTTGCCCTTGCGATAAAGACCAACTGGCAAACTGCTGCTATGCCAGGACCTAAACAGACCTTATGGCTGTGTAGCCTTTGTATCGATGGGTGAGCCTCATTCAGAGTGGCTGTCTGTTCTGACTGCCCAGACATGAGCTTTATGTTAGGCATGGCCCCTGTGCTTTTCCTCCTTGGAGGTCACTGTCAAATTTCAAGGTAGGCTTACCCTGACTGCCTTTGCTTTTCTGACTGAGGCATGTTGAAGAGATGGTCTTCTAGACTTTTTACTTTCTTCTGTTTGACTTTGATTCCCTTGTGCTTTTTTTCTCTGAGCTGCCTTGGTCTCCTCAGGAAACAACCCAGATTAGACACCTTGGATTCTCCCTTTCTCCAGTGAGTTGTGTAATTCTTCCTTGGAGATGCAACCCTTTACCTAGTTTTTGCTCTTGAATTCTCTTCCTTCCTTACATCCTCCCTCCCTCCCTTCCATTTTTTTTTTCTTTTGAGACAGGGTCTTGGGGTAGCCCTGGCTGGCCTGGGATTTTCTGTGTAGATCAGGTTGGCCTTTCACACACAGAGATCCACTTGGCTTCTGAGTGCCTGAGTTGATGAGATGGGTATCAGATAGCATGGGGAACCTGGTCCTGAGCTATCAGTAGTTCCTTTGAGAAGCTGGGTCGTTAAGTAGTGGTTTGGAATAACACTGATCAGTGCCCTGTCTAAGCATCTTTGAGAGTCAACATTGAAGAAAAGGTAGTTTCTTTTTTCAAAAATTATGGTTTTATGTGTATGAGTGTTTTGCCTGCATGCATGTGTGTATATCACATGTGCCATGCCTGAGGAACTTGGAAGAGGGTTTTAGATCCTCTGTTACTAGAGTTACAGACAGTTGTTAATTGCCATAAGGGTGCTGGGAATTGAACCCAGATCCCCCAGGTCCTTCCCTCAAAGCACAGTGTTTGTTTTTTTTTATTTTTTATTTTTTTCTAAGAAGGAAAATAAAAGATGTGTGAAAGTCACAAATGAGAGTAAGGATCAGTTTTTTGATTTATCAGTTGGTTTTCCTGCCTTAAAAGAATAGGGAGCTTGTTTGGCAGTTCTAATGGGGGAGCACAGCTATTTATATGTCCTTAGCTGAAGAATGGTCCTCCTTAATCAGGGAAGGAAGGTTGTCCTCTTCAACTGGATATTCAGTTTAGGAAGGGATGCCCATGGCATGGCAGGGAAGGAGATTCCTGCCTCAACAGCCAGATAACCCTTATGAGAAGGGGGGTGAAATGCCAAAGCCACATTGCCCTTACATCCAAGAGTCTTGCGATTTGAAATGGGACAGTTGATTGGGATTTTTAAATACTACCAGAACAGCTTGTGAGCTTGAGGACCTCAGTTTGTGAGGGCCCCCTACTGGTTATTTGAAAAAATCCACAAGTGCACGATATGGTTGTAATTTTAGGGAACAATAGGGGAAATGAAAAGAAACACAAACAATGACAGTATAAAGGGAAGTATGTCACAGGTGCCATATAACCATAAAGGCCACCAGAGCCCCCGGGGATGGGGTGGGGGATGAAGGAGTGGACTTAGAAGACAGTTAAAGGCATCCTAGAAGGAACTTATTCAAGAGAGATTGGCTGGCATTTGGCATGGTAGGCAAATGGGTTTCAGTTTAGCATGTTGGAAAATGCAGGTCATGCATGTGCAGTCTGCCCACTCTAGCAGTGGATTGGCTAGACTAAAGCAGTGTTCAGCAGGTGAGTTTATATGGTGGACCTTCTGTGGGCCACTGTATTAGTCTTTGAACCTGAGATGTTTAGCAGCTCCTTTTGAATAGGAACCTTTGGTTGGTAGTGGCCCAGATCTGGGTCTTTAGTTTAGGAGCCCTTGAGCCACTGCAACCACTTATTTCTGGGAACCTTGTAGGGTGAAGAATCATTCTGGGGATGGCTGTTTGCTTTGGAAAACCATGTGAGTAAGAGTGCCTCAAAAAGGGCCGGCAGTCTGAAGAAACCCTGGCAAGTTGCAGAAGCATCTGTCAGTATTCCCTGAATTATTTCCCTGAAAAGAGACCTTCAAATCTAGCTCCGAGTTCCTCAGATTGAGACTTTGGTATAAAGGTTTTTCACAGAGGTAAAATGAGGCCTGTTGGGCCCTAATCCAATATGACATTCTTGTCAGGAGAATTTTGAACACAGTGTGGAGTGAGGTCTGTGTGAAATAGAGGGAGGCCAGAAAGGGAAGACAGTGTGAAGAATAGGCCACGTGGAGGTGGAGGTCAGGTCTGCAGAAGTGCTTCAACAATCCAGGGACACAAGGAACAGTCAGTCCTCCCTGTCAAGGGTTCAGAGTGAGCTTGCCCCTGCCAACACCTGGGCTTTAGTTTGGAAGTCCTCAAACTTGTGAGACATATACATTTTGGCTGTTCTAAGCTACCCAGCTCATACTTTGTTCCATGTGCTGGGAAGCGAACACACTACCTTGGAGAGGTGGCTCAATGGTCAAGAGCACTAACTGTTCTCTCAGAGGACCCAGGTTCAATTCCCAGCACCCACATGGCAACTAACAACTGTCTATAACTCCAAGATCAGACAAACATGCAGGCAAAACACCAATGCACATAAAATACAAGTAAATAAATTATAAAAAATGAGAAAAGAGGGCCGGTGATATAGCTTAGCGATAGAGGATTTACCAAGCATTCACAAGACTTTAGGTTCAGTCCACAGCGATACTGTTGCAATTTATTTAAAAACACTGTGAAGAAAATTCATGCCACACAACAAGTCCCACATAGGAGGTATATTTGAAGAGAGAGAAGGGGCAGAGAAGGGGGCAGAGACTGGTCACTGGGGAAAAAAGTGGTGGGGGAGGGAGGGGGAGGGAGAGACAGGAGGTGGTTTTAAAAGGGAACATAGCAAATGTGCACAGGTGGTGCTCTTAGTGGCTGCAGCTGAGGGAGTATCCTGTCAGGACCCTAAGGGCAGGCCAGTACAGATGTCTGAATACTAACAGATACCAAGCAGCTGACTGCCACCATCACCAACAAAAACAAATCCCAAACTCAAACCTATCAGGCTAGGTGTGGTGGTGCATACCTGTCACCCCGGCCCTGGGGAGGCTGAGGCAGCTGGGTAGTTGTTCCAGAAGATGAGGTGCTGCTGAGACAGTATGTGGCACAGATGGCTTTGTGCACTACTAGTTGGTCTAGTGTGCTGCTCTTCATCCAGTTTATGTAGCCAGAGATTCTCCTCTGCTTTCAATGCCAAAAGCAGTGCAAACAGCTGGGTTGGGTGACAGACTCTTCCCTGTTTTCAGTTTGGGTAATACGTCTCTGTTCTGTGTATCAATCATTGTGTATATTATTTCTGTTCCTGGGTTTAGCAGTGTATTTTTTGTTTGTTTTTATGGCTGTTTTAGAGCTGTTCTGTAGGCCAGGCTGCCTCCTGAGTGCTGGGATTAAAAGTGTGTGCTACTACTCCTGACCAAGAATAGTATTATCCCCCCCCCACCAGGGTTTCTCTGTGTATTTCTGGCTGTCCTGGAACTCACTCTGTAGACCAGGCTGGCCTTGAGCTAAGAGATCCACCTGCCTCTACCTCCATAGTACTGTGATTAAAGTTGTGGGCCACCATTATGTGACTTAAAGGCAGTATTATTCTTGTTTGTTTGTTTGCTTTTTGTTTTTTGAGACAAGGTTTCTCTGTGAAGCTTTGGCTATCCTGGAACTTGCTCTGTAGATCAGGCTGGCCTTGAACTCACAGAAATCTTCCTGTTTCTCCCTCTGAGTGTCCTGGGAATAAAGGCATGGACCACCACCACCCAGCTTAAAAGCAGTGTATTCTTAAGGAAGATCTGTCATAACCAAAGCTATTTTTCTATCCAAGGATAAAGGCGAAGAATGTATAAAGAAATGATATTCGTTGTCTGAAAAAATTTAGATAATACCTACAACGGTCCCTACACTTTCCTAGGCACTTGGGGTGCTGCATAAAACAAAAAAGACAATTAAATGTCCTGGTGATGGTAGTAGGTTTCGAGTAATGCTCCCATTTGGCCACAAGGCGGTGATCTGACACAGCTGATACACCTGATACACTAGCTATAGTCTTGTGAACAGTGGCTTGGAATTTTCTGGGGTTCCATATTGTAACAAGGGCCTTGTTAAGCCTGTCGATTTGATATGAAAGCCTGTAGAAATTGCACATAAAACTGCACAGAGAGGACTTAACCATAACAAAAGCATTGGGTAGTTAAAATTAATTCCTATATATTTCTACATGACAAGATTTGTAGAGATTTAATTACTCCATTCCTTTTGACTGTGTTCGAGTAGCATAGTTCAATAATAGAAGCAGACTTTAAGAGTTAGCTGCAAAGAGAAAAATCTAAGCTACTGATAATTTTGGTATTTGGTTTTTGTCTGGTTATGTGGCATGTATTTTATAGTCATATAATGTACATGTGTGCATGTGTAAGTAACATTCAACATGGTTACATATTAAACAGTATTTTTGTTTATTTGTGTTTTTTTCTTGTTTTTCAAGACATGGTTTCTCTGTGTAACAGCCCTGGATGTCCTGGAACTCACTTTGTAGACCAGGCTGGCCTGGAACTCACAGAGACCCAACTGGTTCTACCTCCCGAGGGCTGGGATTAAATGTGTGCACAACCAAGGCCCAGCTCAGCAATATTATTTTTAAGGCATAAAGTTCCACTGCTCATTGGTTTCTTGGGTGGTCATGATCATTGGGACTGAGTAGCGTTCATATAGCACGGCACACTGAAAAGTCAGAGAGGAGAGCTCTGACGAGGGAGAATAAATAGCCCGGCATAGCTTGCATGCTTCTAGGAAATGGGAGTGGGAGCTTGCCAGCCAGTTTCACAATCTCCAACTTGTCTGTTGACCTTTGGGTTCTAATCTTCCTTCTTGGACAGGGTCTCAAGGAAATGTAGACACTCTCCTCGTTTCTTTCTCCAAAACACTCGGGATGCCAAGCAGCTCTAGGCAGTCCCTGGGGTTTTTGTGTAAGTGTCCCCTTGCCTTCTCAGACCTCAGGCATACAAAGCCCTGCCCTTTCGTTGGGCTACACTTCACTGAGCATCAGCCCGTAACTCTTTTCTCCTTGAGGGTGGAGAGTGTATGGTCTTCCATATGTTCTTAGACCACTCTCTCTCACCTGGTCCCACTACCCTCTGTCTGTACTCTCACATTGCTGTAGCTGAGCTCTCTGGTCCCCCGTGTTCCTTTGCTGTTGCTGGTGATGAGAGCTGAGGCTGTTGACTTGAAGCAATTTTTGTTTGTTTGGTTGTTTTTTTTTTAAAGATTTATTTACCTTTTATGTGGATGTGTGAGTACCTGCATGTATGTATGTGTACCATACTCATGCTTGGTACTGAGGAGGCCAGAAGTAGAAGTCAGGGTTACAGGCAGTTGTAAGCTGCCACGTGGGTGCTGGGAACAAAACTGCAAAAGCAGCCAGTGTTCTTAACCACTGAGCCATCTTTCCACTCCCCACATGTAAGTCTTTTTTTAAAAAATTATTTATTTATTATGTATAAATAATAGTGTTCTACCTGCATGTATACCTGCGGGCCAGAAGAGGTCACCAGATCTCATTACAGATGGTTGTGAGCCACCATGTGGTTTCTGGGAGTTGAACTCAGGCCCTCTGGAAGAGCAGCCAGCACTCTTAACCTCTGAACAATTCTCCCCATATATAAATCTTAAAAAAAAAGAAAAGAAAAAGAAAAAAATGTAAATTCTCTTTACCTTTCCCTGAGGAGCTTTTGGCAGTGACTGGTTGCAGGGGGAAGAGGAGTAATTTTCCTCAGTGGTGTTGTCACTGGTAAGTTGCCCATGCTCCATGTTCATGCAACATTAATTAAACGCGAACACACACACACACACACACACACACACACACACACACACACAAGCAACAAAGAGCATGAGAGCAGGCGGAGACTTCTTGGCAATCAGGTGGTCATCAGGCATTGGATGGGCATGAGGAGGGTAATGGGAGTGGAAATGAGCAAAATATAACCATCTGTTCATACAGTCATTAATAGAGGAGAAATTAACAGAAGAGAAATGCAGTTCCCGAGCCCACCCACGCCACGGAGCCACATGCTCTAAGCACTAGGTCCATGTCTCCTGGGGTCTTGATGCACACTACACTTTAGTCAGCCATCTTGGTGCATGTTGGCCAAGTTCAATTTCTCAGCCTTGAAACAAAACTCTTAAAAATTTGAATTAAGTGTCCAAATTTTTTGAACATCAGTATTTCTGCAGTATTACTGTATTTAAAGTTGATAATGTTTTTCATTGAGTTATTGATGTGGGTGTCTTTTGGTTTTTTTGTTGGCCATTTGACTCATAAGCTAAATAATTATGGTGGAGAGGAAGTGTTACGTAGTTACTACCCCCTCACTGTAACATTTTCTTGTCTTGTTCTCTGTTGCTTCCCGCCTCCATTGACTACTACTGCAGTTGTTCCCATTGAGTCAGTCTGCCAGTTGGTGGGACTTGCTTTGTGAGTCAGCTCCTGCTGGCACCAGCCACTCATGAGATGCCTTCTGCTTTTTATGGCACAGATACACGTTTGTGCCATGAGATAGTCGGGCTTCTCAGCTCTGCCTTCAGTCCTTTAAATAACTCATTTTCTTGAAGCCTTAAGTACTTGTCTGGCAGTAAATGAGGTCTTAAAATCACAAAGTAAGATAACAGCACAACCTTGTTGAGGACTGGAGGCAGTTTAGTGTCATAGTGTGCATGGGCTCCGTGTTCACTCCCCAGCATCTTCCCACCCCACCTCTGCAATTAAAAAACATTTCTGGTATGGCTTGAAAACTGGAAGAGAGCTTAGAAACAGGGCTGTAAGAGTGTTGAATGTGATTTGACATGTCTCGAGTATTTTTCTGTCTCTTCTAGACCTGGAAAGGAAAGAACAAGAATTAGAGCAGCTGAGATTGGACTGTGAACACTTCAAAGCCCGGCTAGAAACTGTACAGGCAGACAGCGGGAGGGAGAAGAAGGTAGGCACTTACACGAGGCTCCTGCAGGTGGCTGGGTCCAGAAGGTACTGTTGGTTTGCTGCCTTTTGCTCATAATGAATAGCTAGTCTCACATTTTCTCTGTTAACCCTCAGGAGATTGTCGTCTCAAATATGTGTATTTTAAGCAGATTGGAAGGTAGGTGAACTATTAACAGAGTTTATAACTATTTAACATGTAGACTATTTGCTTCCTTTTAATTAAATATTTTTTGTACATTTAGAGTGAGTGTATGCGTGAGAGAGAGAGAGAGAGAGAGAGAGAGAGAGAGAGAGAGAATATTCAGGCTTGTGTATGTTTCACTTTGGAGGTCAGAGGACAACTTGTGGGAGTTGGTTCTCTTCTTCCCATGTGGGTTCTGGCATTTATTTATCCATTGAACATCTCACTGGCTTCCTTTTAATTTTTGTATTTAAAAGTCTTCTTCAGCTGGACATGATGGCACATGCCTTTAATCTCAGCACTCAGGAGGCAGAGGGCAGGTGGATCTCTGAGTTTGGGGTCAGTTTGGCCTACATAGTGAGTTCTAGGGCAGCTAGGACTACATAGGAAGACTCTGTCTCAAAAACAAAACAAAACAAAACAAAAAGATCTGCTTTAATGTACATGCTTATAACATAGAATGTGGGAGAAAATATTGCATATATGATGACTTATATATAGATAGATATATTAAGTTAGAAGTATTTCTAATTAATTTAGGTATGATTGATATTTAGGAAAAAACTATTTTATTTTACATTTGGAGAAGACTATTTTTTAAAATTATTTTATGTGTACAAGTGTTTTTGCCTGCATGTATGTCTCTGTAGCATGTGTGGGACTGGTTTTCTGGAGGCTAGAAGAGGGTGCTATATCCTCTGGAACTGGAGTTATTGTAAGCTGTCATGTGGGCGCTGAAACTGAACCCAGGTCCTCTGTGAGAGCAGCAAGTGCTTTTAACTGCCAAGCCACCTCTCTAGCACCTGTAATATTTTTTGAGATATTTTTACAATTGGATGGCATATGTTATTTCATCTCCTATAAAACTAGTTCTATGTTGCCACTTGTAAAATTTTGGGCTTGCATATCTTTGTACTATAAAATAATAAAGCAATGATAGTGCTGCACAATGCCAGCAGTATGTTTTGGATATTTGCTGTCTTCTAGCAGGCACACAGCCATGTGTCCTGTGTGCTTCTCCCATCTCAGGCTCATCAGCAGGTATTACTATTGTGCAAGAGCCTGAATAGCTGGTCCAAGGTCTATAGCCTGTGTGCTAAGGAGTGTTAAGGAATTCAGAATGTAGTAGAGGTTTTTGAAAACTGGGAGAGTTGGCTTGTATTTTAATACTGAGCAACCAGAATGCAGTAGGAAAGAGTTTATTTGTAAGCCTGCATTAGATCCAGCAACACAAAGTTGAAGTTTTAGTTTTGCCAGTCTTTTAAGATCAGGTGATAAATTAATTGCAAGGCAGTCTGGCTAGTGTCAGACTAAACATTTTATGGCCTAGAAGTTGACCAGTAGGCAAGGAGGAGTTGATAGATATTTAAAACACTTTAATCCCAGCACTTGGAAGGCAGGAGCAGGCAGATCTCTTGTGAGTTTGAGGCCAGCCTGGTCCACATAGTGAGTTCCAGGACAGCCATAGTGAGCCAGGTGACCATGTACTGAAGTCTGTAAAATTGTGAGTCAAAATGAATTTTTCCTCCTTTTGATTTTTTTCCTCTCAGGCATTTGTCATAGCAATAGAAATACTGTGCTTTACACAGAATATTGGTGCTGGGAGCAAGGCCAGTGCTGTGATTAGACCTGGGCATGTGGTTTGTAGGCCTTTGGAACTAGTTTGTAGAAGGTATTTGGAAAACTGGACGTACAAGCTAGAAATTCCTTTAAAAAAATACTATGAGTAGAACTTGGTGAGGATTGTGGTGTGAGCTCAGAAGACTAGAAATGAAGAGTAGAGACTGTGCTCATGAGATTTCAGATGGGATCAAGGATTCTACTGGGAATCTAGAGACCTGTTCCATTCATGTTCCATTATGGCAAGAATTTGTCTGCTTGTGTCTGTGCCCTAAGACTTTGTGGGGGCTGAGTTCAATGGTGACTGGCTGAGTAATCTGAAAGAACATTTTATTTTTAATTAAAATATTGCATAATCTCCTTCTCCTTCCTCCTCTTTTTTACTCTTCTCATGTCCCCCACCCCTTCTTCCTCTCAAATTCATGACCCACTTTTAAAATTATCATTGTTATACACACATACACAAACAAATGAATACATATATAAATGCAACTTGCTTAGTCTGTTGAGTGTTACTTATATTATATAATTCTGGGGCTGACTACTTGGTATTGGATAGTGAATTACGGGCCTCTTCCCTCTCTTAGAATCAAAAGTTTTCTTCATCTAGGGCTGGGCCCTGTGAGCTTTTCTCACTCACATTAGTATGCCAAATGGTGTTGGAATTGTTCAGGTCTTGTTCAGACAGCCATATTGTAGACAATTCAATGGTATAGCTTCTCTGTCATATTTAGAAGACAGTTTCACAGTGGACTTTGTGGCCCTGTGGTTCTTACCATCTTTTCAATCCCCTGGAAAAGGAAATTTTAAGGTAGTCCAGAATTTGGGCTATCACAGGGCTTTTTGCTGTGCAAAAAAACCCTTTTAGCCAGACTTACAGTGAATATTTAGAGGGAAAAAAAGGGTAGAAAGAGTTAAAATAAAACTGGTTAAAGTTGGGACTAATAAATAGAATGGATAATCATTAGAGATTAGCACCATTGTATGTACCAGGTCAATAGATAAGATGCCTTGAGGGCAGCTCAGTGATCAGGGAGAGCCTACTCACTCTATAGTCAAGAGTATAACCTGGTGTTAATCCCAGCCCTGGGGAGGCAGAGGCAGGCCAACTCTGTGAATTTGGGGCTGGTCTACATAGTGAGTTCCAGGACAGTTGGAGCTATATAGAGAGACCCTGTCTCAAAAAAAAAAAAAAAAAAAAAGAAGTATAAAAGTTTTAAGTTCGCTGAAAAGATAAATTAAAAGATCTACCTGCAGAGGTACCCTTTTGCAAGAGGACCCAGGGAATTGTCCCCCAAGTTTGTTTTGGGCTTGAGATTAGAGATCAAACCTTGGTCTTTGTGCATGTTAGGTAAGAACTGACCTATCAAGATGTAATATAGTCATACCCTTACCTGGATTCCTCCAACTGTGCTCAGTTACCCAGACACTTATAGGCCAGCACAGCTTAACATACTATGAACAGAACTATGGGGTGATTCTGGTGGAGGAGCTAAGAAGACCAGAATGGCTATAGATACACAAAAAGTAAAGACTATGCTCAGGAGTGTTGAAAACTGGACTAGAGAACATTAAGTGAATTTGTCTACACTGGGAACTGGCTATAGCTTAAGCTAGTGGCAGACCTTGCTGTCTTCAATCTGATGTTTTTGCAAGGCAGGTCATAGAGGCTTCTACTCAGATTTCAAAGGAATGTTAGGGAGGCCAGATGATATATGACAGTGGTACGAGTAATTGGATGTTGTAGCCCTTGGGAGAGCAATAGATGAAGTTGTGATGGAATAGAGACCTCAAGAAGCTGAAGATGCTAGGAATGTAGACTGTCTGCCAAGGAAAGCTCTAGACAGTGAGCAGGGTCAGTCTGGAAGAGCCATGCGGCTGCAGCGACATACTGTAGGGGCTGGGCTGCCCCAGCCTTTTGGCATTCAGATCACGGCACTACTTGTCTGGGATGCCAGCCGTTGAGCTACAGGAGCTTATAATTGCCATGTTGATTCCCTTCTTGCTTTGGTATCTGCCCACCTTTCCCTGTGCCCCTTTTGGAATAGAAGTTTTTACTCTGCCTTGTACTTGGGAAATGCAAAACTTCCTTTTTGGTCATACAGGGACTCACAGGTGAGAGCTTGCCTTGAGTCTTAGGAAAGTTTGTACTTGTCAGTTGAGAAATGCTAGAGCTATTGAGACTTTGGGGAAACTAAATAAAGTATTTTGGGGTACATGCAGGATGGTTCTGTCATGTTTTATGAATTATGGATGGCCTTTGGAAATTAGGTATGGTTTTAGGAGATGTGGTTAAGGAGGTGTGTTTGGGTGTCAAGTTGACAGAAGGTGGACTTGTGACAGTTAATCTTGGTTGTCAACTTGGACTGAGAAATATTGAGGACATACATTTGTAAGGTACATTTCTGCTGTGCTTGTGAAAGTATTTCTAGAGATGATTAAGTGGGGAGCAACTACTCTGAATGCTACTTATGTCATACAATAGTCTGAGAACCCAGACGGAATAAAAAGGCAAGGAGAACACACAGATCTGTTCTTTCTCTCTGCTTACTGGTGTCCATGAGGTGAATGGCTTTGCTCTGCTCCCCTGTCCTGTCTGCAGGACTAAGTCATGAAATGGATTGCCTATGGACTGAAACCCTGAAACCCTAATGGAAAGGAAATCTTTATCCTGTCACCTTGTCCTGTCAGGCATTTTTCAGTGATGAAAGGCTAACAAAATACCAGGTCAGCACTGAAGAGGACCTTGGAGCAGACACATTGTGAACAGGCATCAGGAACACTAAACTAACGTGGACTGGGATCTAGGCCTTGATGGTGGAGGACCTAGCATGAGCGAGGCCTTGGGTTTGATCTCTAGTACTGCATAGACTGGGCATGGTGGTATCAGAAGTTCAAGATCATCCTCTGTTACATAGGGAGTGTGAGATCTGCCTGGGCTACAAAAGACATGTTTTAAAAACAAACCTCCAAACAAATACAGCAGCTAGCTAAGTCCTTTTCAGGTGTTCTGTATACCCAACAACTGCCTGTACCAAAAGGCTGAGGCCTTTTGCCATTGCCAAGACTCTTTCTCCTATGCAGCCTCTGTACCCCAAGAGCAGCCATCCAGTCCCAACTCTCTTCTTCCCATGATCCAGCTAAGTTGCTGCATTGAAGAGGAACCTGCTTCAATATAGCTTTAGCAAAGCCCTTATATA